GTACTATGTTTCACCCTGGGTTTCTCTGATGACCCAGCTTCAGCTTTCACACCTTCCTATCACTAACCTGTCCCAGCACGTGCTGTCCTCCAACGGTGGGGATGTCGCTGTGCTGTCTTCCTTCTTGGCCAGGTCCTGGTTAGAGGCGGCAAAGGTGAACAATAGAAGAAGGTCACAGACACTTTTACATTAGGTACTTAGTAGAGAGACACATACAGTATCATTTTGGTTTTTTGTTCTGACCCTGGTTTTCTGCTGTGAACCAGCTTCAACATGGGAAACCAACTGCATCACAACCTGCCGTCCTGCTTCAATGCAAGCTCCCGATCTTCGTCCAATCGCCTTTGGCCTTGAGTATAGGTTTGGATGCAAACTGGAAGATCTCCGGGAAACAAAAGGTTTGCATTCTTGGTCTATGTGTTGTTACAATAAAAGTTGTACAATACAGTATTTCTGTTGAACTTGGGCCACTGCATTGTGCAAATACCAGTGCTTCAGCCATATCGCTCTTACGACGGAGTACTTTAACACCTGCAAGTCTGGCACAGTCCTTGAGCTCGTCCGCCTTTAAAGCCATGTACTCCGTGAGAAGTGTGTCCCTCATTTTCGCCAAGGAAATAATGACCCCAGCAATGAAATCGTAGTTGCCAAAGAAGTCCTGTTGCAAAGACAGGCTCCTGTGGTCTATGTTAGTGCCTTCCTTTAATAATCTAAACTTTTTTTGCAATGTTACATATTTGATTTCCACAGTAGGCACCTCACAGCTGCAAGCATTAAAAAACAAGATTGAATCTGTGGGAAAACTCCTGATCGACAGCTTCAAGCTCACGCCCCTCACCTGGCATTGAAACCATCATGCCGGTGTTGTGCCCATTCCTGGCCACCCCAGCTAAAGACGCCAGTTCCTTCTGCAGGTTTGCAGGGAAAAGGTGCAACCAACTTGGTGCAGGAGGCTCACAGGACTCTATCTTGGCGGCAGTGTTCTTCTCATTCTTGGCGCTTGTAGCGGGCACCGGCGCTGGTTTTGCAATGGCATTGTCGGCGTCATCTGCAAGAGCATCTTTGCTAAAAATGCGCATGTCCTGTTAGGGCTAACGTAGCCAACAAGGGCATTGTAGAGTGGGTAAACATATATATATATATATGTTGAGATTCAACATGAATTGACATGAGCGGAGTGCAGAATGCCCTGGCATGCCCAAAACTGAAACATGACCCCATGTTAGCGTTATCATATATTCCAGCAAAAGACACAACATTGTCTCCTGACACAGAAGAGAAAAGTGGTCAGCACCCGCCCCTGCACCGTCCACTGACTTGTGAGCCCACAAGTACACGGGTCTCAATGACGCGGCTTCAGGACTTGGGTCGTTTGGAATTTGCCAAGCTGGCGTTTCTCCAGGTTGAGGTGTTGACTTGCCATAAAGCACCATCAATTTGATCTTCAATGTGAAAGCTGCCCATTCCTCGTTATTTTAGTGAAATCCCAGCCAAGTAGCTTTGTGTTTGGTGGTCTCAGAAAATAACAGGGGACATGTTAGTCTACCCTTTAGTACAAAAACACAGGTAAAATAACAGCAACATTCAGCTAGCAGCTATTCCAAGGTTCAATGTCACTGTGAATAGCGCTCTCCTTCTTCTCAATTCGATCCCTTGTTTCACAAGGCAGATTCCCATCGTTCAGGCTGAGTGCCCATTCCGTCACTAACGTGTCCTCCAGCGTTGCGACGCTTGCAAATTCAGGGAATCCCGTAGCTGACCTTGGACGTGACAGCCAGAGCCATTTTTCACGATCTGAAGCCTGGCAAGCCAAATACAAACAGCTCCAGAAGCACAGGCCGTTGGCTTGCACAGGCAGCTGAAAAAACCTGTGGAAGTGATGCGGGGATGGTGTCGTCTGGGCAAAACTCCGTGACGGCCAGAACAGCTGCCAGAACCATAGCCTCACATTGTCAA